TTTTGCAAATTAAATTTTCAATTCCGATTAAATAACTAGTTTCCTTTCCTTATCTATACTATGAATGGGCTAAGACTAATATTAAAAGGCCTGATTATTATAATTAACTCGTCATTAAATATTTTATTAATTATTGTAAATTGCGTATGTTATATTCTTCACCAATAAATAATAAAAATTGTATTTTAAAAACTATTCTAATTTAATAAATATTGATAATTTTATAAAAGTATCTTTTATTTAATATAATCTCATTTAACAAAAGATACAAGTATCTTTTTTCTTTTTTCTTGTATCTTTTTGATATTTTAAATGATACTAGTATCTGTATCTAAGATCCATCTTTTTATAAAGAATCTGTATTCTAGATTCTTTTTCCGGAGGACCTGCCCAACTCTGGGAACACTTACTCAAATATATATATAGTATCAATATGATTTGTTGTAAAACATTTCCATGAATTTGTAACAACTTTTTTAAAATATTGTTTAACTTGCTATATTTTTTTTTAATTGTTATCAATATGTTATTTTTACAATAATTATAGCGTCAAACAATTTTATAAGAAAGTTGTTACAAGTATGTTGTTTTACAACGAATCATACACACACTGTATTGACCTTGACCTTAAATGTATAAATTACAATTATTTAATAATCATTTTTTAAAATATTATTTAGAGAATTTAGTGACCTTAGATATAAAACTATGTAGGACTTAATATATATGTTAGCGTCAATGTGTTTTTTCCGGCAATGTGTTATTTTTTAAACTTTAAATCATTTTTTTAGCGCGTTCTTAAAAATTTAAAAATCCAATTTTATCTGAAATGTAAGCCAGAACTTTTTAACTTAATATAATTTATATTAAATTTTTCCCTATATTTTTTTATATAAATTATAAATTACTCAAAAGTTATCAGTAAAATTATCTACAATTCATAAGATACGTATTCTAAACATGCTGGAGTACATTTCCGGTAAAATCAAAATTTTAAATTTAAAAAAACGGGTTCAAAATACGATATAAAGTTGAAAAAAGTAATACATTGCCGTAAAAAACACATTGCCCGCTAACATATATATATTCAATTATTGAAATACTTTATGGTTTCCCAAAAAATTTATATAATATAGTATAAAATATCGTCAAGCATTATAATTACTTTTATAATAATCTCCTCAAAAAAAAATTATCATATTAATAATAAAAATAAAATTAAGAAATGACGCCACATCATTATTATACACTTAAATGAATCTGTTAATCTGTATGTTATCGGTTGTTAAATTTTTATTGATTAAAAAAATATATTAAGGACAAAATGTCATCACCGGGAAAGAAGTAATAATTCATTTAAAATTCTCACTCCTTTAAATTGTTGGGGATAAGTTAATCTACTTTCAAGATGAATAAATTGGGACATTTTGACTCGGGTTAATGTTTTTGTCAGGGTCATTTTAGTCCAACGACAATCAACATGCAATATTAATTCTTAAATACAAAAAATTGGAATTTAACAATTTTAAAAAAAATCTGTTGTTTTTCCGAGAATTCAAATAGCAATAAATGTAGCGGTTAAATAAATATATATTAAAATGGGTTTTATCGATTTTCATAACTATTTTTTTCGTGAAGGCTTAATTCTAATTTTCCTTCATGTTTTGTCTGACTAATTTAGTTTTATTTTTAAAATACAAGATGAAGAACTATCAAAATTAAGACCCCCCCCCCCCCACTCAATTGGATAGAAAAATTAGTAAATATATAACAAATATTCCTATTTATTTTGCATACTTTATATCGGTCTAAATAATTTTCATTCAATTTAAAAGGTCCTTATCAAAGCGTAGTAAAATTAAAAAGTTATTCAAACGCTTAGCTCAAAATAGAAAATACTTTGGCTGTGTCCAGAAAAAATTTAATCGCGCAAATCTAGCGAAAAAAAATAACATTTTAATTGAAAATTAAAATGTTGACCTAAATGATTTTTCAAATTTCTATAAATACCAAAAATGATTTAGGCCAAAATTTTAATTTTCCATTAAAAATGGCTATATTTTTTTTTCGCAATTGCGCATTAAATTTTTGATACTTTGACACAGCCAAGCGTGATAAAATTAATCGAGTAAATTTTGGAGTGCTGAGTAGGTGATCATAAATGTATTTAAAAATTCAATAATTATGCTTAAAAATTCTCCATTTTCGATTAATATACTCGAGTACATTTTACATCAATAATCATTATAGCATTTCCAAAAAAAAATATGCATACAAAAAATGTGCGAATGTTAAATGAAAGCGTTTTGATTACTATATCGTAATATTTATTTTTATATAATTCAATGGTGAATGTTGAATGATGTTAAAAAAAAATTATGCATTATATGATTTAATCGAATCGATGTCGAAAACATACCAAAATTATTTTTCGCAATGTTGCAAGTACGGTATAATTATCCAAAGAGGAGATTCGATATTTTTTTTATGAGAAAAAAAATCGATACATTATAAATTTATAATAATTAAAATATAAAAGAATTATCAAAATATAGGAGAAAATAGATACTAGCCATTTAAAAGACTGAAACAATTTGGTCTAGTGTTGCAGTAATCAATGATTGCACTAAGGGTTATAAATATCCTTTACATTAGGCCCATGCAAAAGATGTGAACGGGGCAGAGACCTCGGACACCAGCATTATACTGTTTTCATGATTAAATTTCGCTTCTTGTGTATTTAAAAGTAAATTATTTTAAAAAGTATAAATATTGCATAAATTATGCTTAATATTATCGAATTCAAGTAATTTATTACTAATTATTTATATTTTAGTTTATACTGTTTTACTATAATATATTGTATAAAAAATATTATCTGATTATTCAAGAATTTTATCTTTAAAATGATGACTTAGTCCACTATCTTATGATTTTTTATTACAGCTCAGATAAATTGGAGATTATTTAAAGGGTCTCAAGATACTAGCCGTCAAAAGTTTTAACACGGCCCTGTTTATACCTAATTTTTTTTATAGATATGTCCATCGTTCCAACCCCCTCCCCCTTTTTTTAGAACGTCCAGCAGGGCCAAATCCTACAAAAAAAATTTAAGAATATAGCCACTTTTCAAGAATATTTTACGAGGCAAATAAATTTTAAGAGGCAGAGCTAATAAATTTTCAGGGTTAGGCCAAATTTTATAAATGTATTGATGGGTTGGTTCGAGCCGGTCTATTTAAATATCAAAATATTTTATTATTATTATTTCTAAAAACTTTTTAAAATAAAAATTATTGAATAATTTTCTTCAGAAAAAAAAAATTATAATAAAGAAAACTAGAAAAAGATATGAAACATAAAAAAACAATATGAAAAAATCGATAAAAAAATAAAATTTATCGTAATTTTTTTTTATAAAATAAAATTTGAAAAGTTATAAATGCATATCCTAATTATAATAATGTAACCAGCCTCATTCACCGAGAATTTTCACTCGGTATGGGGTGGGTGTAGCCAGAATTTACCTAATGGGGTGTTACGAAAAATTTTTCTCGTTCCTAAAACCCCCAATTGCCCGACTATAGCTGGGTCTGGCCCAAGAAAAATATCTATTAGATTTTTTTTATTTTTTCGTTAGTTATAAATTTCCAAAATTCATATCATGCCAGAATGGGAAATAAAGAAGAACTAAATATCTGGTTTGCGTTTAAATTTTGTGACTGACTAGTATTTATTAATTTCTCGCTCAGTTGCGAACCAAAAATATGAAACAGAGTTATCAAAATGAAAAAATGTGATAATGAATCTGAATATCATATTAAGACGCAGTCCTGAATATGAAGTTTGCCAAAGCATTAATTCTAAAGCTTAGGCCAATATGTTAAAAATACTTAAATAGTATATATTTTGGTTTAATGCTCTAATCCATTTGATAAACAGCATAAATAAAAAAAGTTATTAGCAAAATACGAAAATTTCTAAAATTGGTATCAAAATTCAAGTTAGATCGAAAAATTTTTTTTTGAAATTATATCAAAACCTAGCTATGTGATTTGCCAAAGAGCTGATCCCCGTTCAATGGCCGACATCCGGTCTAAATTAAAGTACCAATTCAGATCGCCCCACAATCTAAAAAATGGTCGGCTGTATTTAGAACGAGTTTAGTAACCAACTGAAATCTAGATATTTTGTTAACCAAATCAGTTAGTCAAATTTTTCATATTTAAAGCGATTTGAACAGGCTTATAATATTTAAAAAAGTTGAGTCCAAAATTGAAAAAAAATATAGCTTCATCATAGATATTATTAAACTATTAGTAATAATATTCATTTATATTTTGTAGGCTTACCTTCTAAACCTAAAGAGACAATGATCTTTAGTTTAGGAAAACCCTTCCTAAAATATAAATTGAAAAATTAAGAATATTGAAAAATTAAGAATAGTCATTTTGTATTAAAAAAAATTCACTTATCAATATTTTATTTTACTCGATTCCGTAAAAATAAAAATAAAATTTTTTAAACTCTGGCTAAAGAGCGAGTGATGGTAATACTTAATTATTTTTTAAAATCAGGTCATTTTTTATAATTTATCGAAAAATCACTTGAAAATTATGATAATAGAAGTTTTTTTATTTATTTTCTTATTAATGGGATAAAAAAGAATTATTATTTTTCTCGAAATATTCAATAATTAGGCAAGGTTATTCCGAAAATTTTCGGGCCCTCGCCACGTTTTACCTTGTTTGATGAGAAAACAAAAATAAATGCAATTTTTAATTTTAATCACCTAATAAATTTAGATTTACTTAATAATTTGCAAAAAAATAAATATTTGCATCTTCAAAATGTTCTAAATCTATTCAAAATATTTTCTAAAAAAATTAATTCAATTAGCCCAATTTTTTAAATATATATAACATATTTTTAAAGAATTGTTATTAATTTATTTTTCAAGTTAATCGATAATTTCTTCATAATTTTTATTAAATTTTTACCTTTATGTTTAGTTTTTTATTAAAATGAACATAGAATTTCTCCGTGATTTTTCTTCTTAATGATAGGAATTTAAATCGTGAATAACATTTTATGATGATTTTTAAAAAGTGAGGAATTGAGGTAGAGTCATCGTCAAGATCAGTGTCACAAATTACATGTGCGAGCGATTATCATATTCGTAAATGTTTGTAATAGGAATTATTTTAAGAAAAAAATTAGCTGTTGTTCTAATTCGAAAGTAATAAATAAATAGCCGAAAAAAAATATATGAGATGAATGATAACCATTAGAACGAATTTTTTAAACGAAAAATTGGTAATAATAAATAATTAAAAAGAAACAAAAAACATCCACGCAAAAAAATAAAAATAATTGAGCCATTTATTTTATATTTTTGCATGGCATATCAAAAATATTTTGATTTATTATAAATAGTATATAAAAGATAATTCCTCTATAAAATATTCTATTTGCTTTCTTATCTTGCGTTATTTTTATCCTTGGTAGTCCTGATCAGAAAGTGAACGCGGAATAGGACATAAAATATGAGGATAGAAATCTGGTATAGACTAAAAAAACAAAATTTTTACAAACCTGGGCCAAGCCGTGCCTAAAAAAAATATAGAAAACTAGGACTGGGCCTAATTTAACCATACACCAATTAAATTACAAAATCAAAATAATGGATTATTCATTCATTTTCCCTTTGTAACAAATTACAAAATGATTAAAAATGACTTATTTTGAAAATTCGGATCGGGTCATAAAATGATTAAAGAAAATTTCTTTCATTCTTTATTTTTTTTCGTCGTAATCTTTAATAATCACTTTTATAGTGTGATCAGCAAGTGCTAGATTAGACCAAATTTTTTATAAATTTCTAAATATAAATCCAATAAGCCAGGGACGTAGCCACGTGAGGGGGGGGGGCTGAAAAAATTTTTGCCCCGAAAAAATGGCGGCCAAAATTTTTTGGTCTTTAAATTTAAAAAAAATTATTAGTTATTAAATTTTAATTCACAATTAACATTTAAATCTAAAAAAAAATACAACAAAATTTTAAGACAAATATTATTTAATTTATACTAATTAATATTAGTTATAAAATATCCATTCACTCATTATTTGCCCAAGTGATGAATTTGGGCGAAAGGGATTCAGCAATTGGAAAAATGCGTTAGCTGCAAAAAAGGGACTGCTATAAAATGAAAGTTAAAAAGCTCGTTTAAATTCATTAACAATATGTCATGATAAAGATCTTAATATAAATAAGGACACTGAGATAACATCAATTCTGGTTAGATAGCCAATTAACCAATCGTTATTATCTTAAATCAATATTTGATTTGATGCCACTTCTTAGCCTACAGGAGCTACCTTTTCGTGGGGCAGATTCAACAAAAATTAAGCAAAAGATGAAAATATAATTTATTCTTCTGAACTATTTATAGCAATGTTTTTTCATACACCCTCCAAAAAGATACTGAATTAAATATTATGAAATGAATATCCGAAATGCACAATGCACACTACTCCAAAATGAAGTCTAATCTATGGCAGATATGGTGTTTGCCTCTTTTTGTCTTAAGGCTAATGAGACAAAGGATGCATCAGGTTAAACCTGAGCATAATTGTTCGTTATGTGGAGAATTTTAAGAAAATCTAATAGGAATCTTTATTTTACAAAGCTTTTCTGCTAAAAGCATTATTAATTGTATTTTAATGCAACTTAATTAAATATTAATTCATCGAATGTATAGCCAGGCATATGATACCAATGTCATGTCTAGCCGAAATGGAGAAGTACAAACCCTGCTTCACAAAGATTACAAAAAAGTGCTGTGATATAATAATATTGTATTTTTTTAATTTATCTAATATATTGTATAATTTTTTTAGGCGTTTTAACATATCCTGTAAATTAGTTAAGAGACCTTTAGACCAAAGGTGGACTGGTCCGTTAGAAACATCTCGTATTATTTATGAGAGTTGTGAAACTATTGGTGAAGTATTATTTAATAGAAATTTGAGATATCCCCTCATGATTCAGTCGAAGCCTCTGGTATTTTATCTAAATGCGTTAATATAAATTACATTATATTGGCCATTATAATTTATGAAGCATTAATAACAAAAGATCAATTAAATAAGTATCTACAGTCAGTAGGTACTTACTAATAGAGTGGATGCTAAAAATTGTATCAATTCCACGATTAATATATTAAAAAATAAAAAAGTGATAATTCTTTCGATTAGATAAGAACTATGGCTGAAAAATTTATATCAATATTTAATCTCATCTCTCAAAAATCATCAAGGGTGCTTAAACGCCTATAAATCTTTAAAATTATTTAATACCAAATTGCAATTTGATTGTGAAAAGAACACCATTTGCATTTCTTTACAAAAGGAATATTATGAAATTATTGTAGTTCGTTTTTTAGATAGATTTACACAAGATGATAATAGTCTTCTATCACGTTCTAATACATTGTCCCTTCTTATTATTTTTTATCAGATAAAATGGCCCCTTAGTCATTAAACTTAAAGGAAATGTTATCATGAAAAGAAATAGCAAAAGGATGATAAGCTGCAGAAGTTATAGAAACACATAATTTTAAAAATATCATATTATGTATAAAAAAAATATCATCTTGCATTTAAAGAATTATCAACGGCTTCTTGAGAGGCCTCATTCTCTAAACTAAAAAGAGTTCTATCAAGCATTAAAGAATCGATGAAAGATCGACGTAATTAAAATTTAGTATTTTAATATCTTATGAAAAAAATAACACAGAATTTAGCATTTAATCCATTTATGTTAAAATAAAAATCGTCGAGTATTATTTTGCATATATTTACAATTTACAAATTTTTAATAAAAATAGCAAGAAATTTCTATGAGTGCCTAACTATCTGTTTTATTTCAAAAAAATATTGGCCACTCTAAGTAAGCAGTTGCCACAACACAGTAAAAAATTCCTGATTACGTCCCTGGGGTAAGCCATTGGCTATTCAGAATAATTTCATGAAAACAAATTTTTTTTAAACAAAATCTTATCGGAGATTTGATGTCAATGATTAAAAATAATTCTTAATTTTTGAATCATCGAAGAAAAACATATCGAGATTTTTTTTCAAAGATTTAAGTTGAACTCTATTGAACTAACTTTATTTGTCAAGATGTCCGATAGGGCAATCATATATTTAGATAAAAAATAATAATTTGTTTTGGATTTAGAAGTTTATTTATAAATATTTAAATAATGGGAAGCATGAAAATTGGAAATGATAATGGCTCCACTCACTGTGCACATAAAACTCTTTTCAGGGCGAGGTGGGGAGGGAGGGGGGTCCATGATTTCAAATTGGTTTGAAAAAAAATATGAGTGACTTAATTTATACTCTACTTGTAAAAAAAAATTTAAAAGGTGATTATAAAGCATGGTTTATTTTATTTCATTGGTGTAGTATTAATTTCCTGGCAATGTTATCCAAATAAATGTTTGTTTATTCAACCCCGATTCAGCTAAACAGAAAGTAAAAGAGATCAAATTGAAATTCTCAAGGGGAGTTTGTATAAGATAATAAATAATTTTTACATAAAAAAAGAAATTATTAATGTATTTACAGATATCTGCAGACCAAATCCGGCCCTATCTTAATTTTTAAATATACCCGAGCCGAACCAAAAATATTTTTAGTACTCGAGCCGGGCCGGGCCTAAAATTTTCTTTTTAAATAATACCCGGCACAGTATTTTTAAAACCGAATATTTTAAATCGTCATTATTAACTATAAAAATAAATGAATATATTTTAAGAAAATCCGGGCCGGGTCTGAAAATATAAAACTCGGGCCGAGCCAAAAATGGTATGCCTGCAGTTCTCTGATTTGAATTTAAATTAAATAAAATTATGTAACTATGATATATTGCAAAATTATTTGGTTTCAGAGAAAAAGGATCCTTAAGTATATAATTTTATCATGCGCATTTTATATTTGTCGGATTTAAAAAAATTGATAATTCTTTGGAAAGGCAAAGAGTAAAATTTTTTTTTAAATTTCATCCATAAGATTAATAGAACCCATTTTAAACATTACATAATTTCGTTTTCATAACAATATTATATGATATTTACTTCGCTAGGTGGCGTTTATTCATTTTTTTTTCTTTATTCTTAAGATCATTATTAAAAATTGTTATGCAAAAATCTGATTTATAAAAAAAATTGATTGAAACTATTTCCGGGCACATTGTTTGATTCAATTTATTATTTTTTTTATAATTTGATAAAATAAATATCCGATTTTTAGAGATTTATTATATCGATAGATCATTCATAAAAAATTAATAAAACATGAATAAATTGCAAATGGCTTTAATTATCTATTTCCACTCTTTAGTATTTTTCATTTCAATTTATTACAATAACAATAGACAGATTTTTGAATCGGAACCCTTAGAACCGAGCCAAATATGAGAATCGGAATCCACTCTTAAAATTATTAGAAACTGTAACCAGAACCTTTAAAAAAAATTTGAGAAACTGAAATGGTTCCATAAAAAATAATAGAACTAATTTATGCATTTGGTATTTTTTTGCATACTCCCTAAGTCCCCCCCCCCCTAAGCATTTGCTGTAAAGAAACATTTTTTTAAGTAGATATCATTTCGGGTAATTTTTATTCGTGTTTTCTTTAATTCTTTTTTTTTTAATTCGGTAAAATATCATTAAAATAGATTTCTTTATTTTATTAAATTATATGTAATATAATTATATGGGTGGATTAATTTTTACTTAGACTCGGCCGAATAGACTCTTGAAGGGTAAGCATTAAGCCATTGTTTCATTTTTTTTTCTCTTTAAAATAATTGCAAAGTATTAAAAACTTAATTTAATTTAAAAATTAAAATGTAATGATTAAATAAAATAATATTTTTAAAATCATCATTATTTTATATTAATGCGTATTTATTTTTTTTTATAGTGCCAGCCATAAGGAAAATAATAAAGATTTTATTTCTTAGCGGAGAGCGAAAAAAATAAAATAAAAACGTTTTTTAAAAAAAATATCGGTCTGAAAAAACAAAGTCATCTTGAGGAAAAAAAAGAAAAGAAAAGATAAGGCCAGAATTTAAATATTATATTATATATTTATTTATAACTTTATGTATATTAAAAAAAATTGAGAAATAGAAATAATACATTATATATTTTTGATAG